GATAATTTAATTTTTTTTCTGCCTTCAAATCCAACTTGCGCAACCTGGTATGTTGATAGCACTATAATAAGTCCTTCCGTCTTTTTTTCGTTTTTTTTTTTGATAGCTGTGCTGGTTTTTTTTATGTTTGTTTTGCTGTCCTTCCTTCTGTTGCCTGCCGTTCTTATATTCAGATGTCACTAGGCTTTCAGGGGCTTTGAATTGAGAGGCGGCTTTCACCATGGCCCTGGCCCTAAAATTTACTTTTCGGCTTTAGAGCTTTGTCCTTGGTTGCATTTGGGATCCGGTATTGACATTGACTTGTACTTGTGTCTTGGAGCTTCGGATTTGACTCCGAGTTTGACTTCGGTCCGTCTCTTCCCGGTCAGGAAGACTGATGTTACCAAAGTCCTCCCGAGACATCTAAATTGATGTGACCACGCATTCGTATAGTTTATCTTCACTCCAATTGGTCCTTCCTAGCATTGCTCATTCCAAAAAAATAGCATTCCGTCTCTCTCTCTCTTTCTATCTATATATATATATATATATATATATATATATATATATATATATATATATATATATATATATATATATATATATATAAGGTCGCAAAGGTGATATGTTTTCTCGAGATAGAAGCGTCCGAAAATTTGATTCGTTTCTGCAACTCAAGCCCGATTGAAAATGTCGGATTTCTTCGCTCGGACTTAGCTCGATAAAAGCAATGCGTTCTTTTTGTTGTTGTTGTGTGTTTTCAACGCTGAAAAAGCGATACTCAGTGTGATTTGCCCGTCGCAATCTTCGCAAAGTGTCCCTTACACGATGACACACACACGCGCGCCCTCACGCACACACACTCTAAAAACTTTCACGAGACCTCGCTTTTTTTTTTTTTTTTATAATTTGTTTCGGTGCTCTTGAGGTCGTAGTTTGAGGGTATAGGATCCTCTAATATGACGCAAACCAGGCTTCGATAAACGAAAGACTTTTACAGCAGGAGAGGATGGTCATAAAAAAGGAGAAAAAAGATCGATTGAGAAAGTAGTGAGATGAGAAACATGAGAAGAAAGAGTGTGTGTGTGTGTGTGTGTGCGTGTTGGGGGGGGGGGAAGAGAAGTTGAGGTGTGGAGGTTTTATTTGTTTTCTTTGGTTCGCTGTTGATGGAAATCGTTGGGATGCCCTTTGCGAATCCTCTGTTTTCTTCTCCTAGCTTCCCTGATTTATTGTTCGGTTTCGGTTCACGTCCGAAATCCCTGTTTTCGCTCTAACCACGCGTAGGTTGAAGGCTCTGCTTAGTTCTGACAAGAAACGCGTGGCCAAAAAAGCAAGATGTTCTTTTTATGTGTGTGTGTGTGTGTGACGCGAGTTTGGTAAATGGCTGAGAAGATAGATGATTGGCCATAAAAAGGAAAAGAAATGTGGATAGATGTATATAGAAACGTGAGATAAGCACAAAGAGTGCGATTAATAAAACGAGAATAAGTAAGGCTCGTAATGGAAATAAAAAATAACTATAGACCAGGGATGGTTAAATACGATTGCTGATTCGGCAGACTGAGGATATTTATAATCGACCGCAAAGACTGCCATGCGGATTCTTATGCGGCGGCAGTTAGTTTGTCCCGATACCAGGGGTAACATTCATGCCCTGGCTCAATACCACTTGGAAGACAAGGCCAACTCGTTTCTCCGTCGAACGTTATCACTCGTAGGCCCACGCAGCGCGTTTTGCTGCGTCCTCAACGAACGCGAGGGTAGCACGTGGTGGCGCCAAGACACGCGTCTACCCCCTTTGCGGCGGCTGTCGTAGCGAGCCTCGGCGTGTTTGCTGTCTAGGGCGGGTCGGGATGCCACAAATGATGACGTCATGAATAGGCCCTGTTTTCTGCTGCCTCGATGCTCTTTCGTTACTTATTTCTGTTTGGCACAAGTTCGCCAATTAAACTTTTATCCTTCAGTTCACTGTTCGGCTTCTCGTCACCTTCATTCGTGACAATATAAAAAAAAAAGTCGAGGGTTCTTTGAATTACTGGAGCCTCGAGATTCGGCAGAGGTTCGCAACATCCCTAATTTTGACTAGTAAAGCAAGGTCATTAACCTGGTATTTTCATGTGCACCCTCACACTACCGTCTGCACGAATCCACTCCAGTAGAACGGTCAATCACATTAAAGTAGCGTAAAATGATTTGTCCGTGTCAAGTTATTAATTAGCCTAATAGTGTTCTTGCAGATGTCGAGTAACTATAGTAATTAACTTCGTATCTATAAGATTATCTAAGCGGCGGGCTTCTCATAAACGAAGTAAATTATAGATTTAGTAGAATGTAATTCTATCAGCACTATTGTTCTAATAAAATTTATTACAAAACTTGTCCTATAAGAACTATGAACAGAAATTAAACCCCCCAAAAAAAACAGAGAATCTATATCTCACAATGATGTTGAATTGTCCGGTTGTTCCCTTGCTAATCCATGTAAAAACTTTTTTTGTAAATTTAGTAGAAAACACAAAAACAACTAATGCCTGCGGTTCTAACAGGCAAAGTGTTCATGAAACTATTTATTTAAATTCGGTCACTGAGGAAGAGTTAATAAAAGTGTTTCGCAGCGTAAATGTCACAGCTGCGACGCAGATCGTATACAGATACGCCCAGTCTTATATGTCTTAGGTAATATTAGCCAATACCTTGCATAGATTTCTATTCTGTATGTGCGAAATGCCATATTTCCCATAAAAATGCAGATAGCAAAGGTTGTAGTAATTCATAACAAAGCTGATGAAAATGATATAAACAAATATCAACTTGCTTTAATTCTTCATGTTTTCTTTAAGGAATAGAAAAATAAACTTATAGCCGCATTATTACATTTGCAGATAAGCGTAATATTATAACAGGGTCTCATTTCAGATTTAGGAAAAAGCATTACACGTAACTAGCTTTGCCGAACCACAAAGAATTCATTTTTCGCAGTTTCGAAGACAAAGTTAGGGTACTAGGCATATTTATAGATTTTACTAAAGCGCTTGATTACATTAACCACCATTCCTTCCTTCAAAAACTTGAAAGTTACGGCATGAGAGGACATACATCACTTCTCATCAAGTCATATTTATATCACCGCCATCAATATGTTAACGTTCACGGTCACATCTGGGATATAAAACCAATAAAATCGGGAGTATCCCAAGGAAGCATATTGGGTTCGTTGCTTTTTAATATTTATATTAACGACATTGGGAACATCGCGCCGTAAGTTAAATTTATTATTTATGTTGACGACACCAGCATTTTTTTTTCGGTTCAGAATTGCAATAATATTTCACGTATAGCGTATGACACTATAAGACGCCTAGAAACTTGGACTAGTTCAAATAATCTGCTAACAAATACAAGCAAAACCAAAGCTACACCCTTTAGCCCCGATAATAAAAATCCCGACCTTCCAAATTATATTATTCTAGATGTCTCCCCTATCGAAGTGGTCAGCACGTTTAAACCTTTGGGAGTTATATTTTCAATGCACATGTCATGGACTGAACACGTAGACTACATTCTTTCAAAACTCGCTTCTATCACTGAATGGCTACATAGACATCGCCCTAGTTTTCCACCTTGATTGCTCTTAAATAACTCATTTTTTTAATCTCGTTTGAATGATTGCAACTTAGTCTGAGGAACAACTAAAAAAATTAATCCACAAAGAATATTTTATAACAAAAAAAAAGCGTGCTAAAGATCGTGTGTAACATAGCCTATAATTTCCATACCAATCAACTTTTTGAGCAACTAAAGGTACTAAAAATAGAGGAACATTATAAATATAGACTTAATATAAAATGCAAGCAGCAGCAATAAGAGACAAATAGGTTTTTGTTATCATTAACATCAATTAGAATTAAAGTTCCAAGATATTCCACCCATCACTCAGACTTCTGGGTAGTAGAAACCTTGTGCTCAGAGTATGGCCTTCGAATGGTTAAACCGACCTTGCTAACTTTATTAAACACACTTATGTATTCAGGTAGAGATATACAATTATGTAGCACTCCTGAACTTCGATAATATTTTCTTTCAAAATGAACAGTCATGACGTTGTTTTCTGTTCTGTACGTGTAACACTGTATTACTTGATTATTGTTCTTTAACTTAGATTACCACTCTTGAAATTTTGTATGTATACTTACCATGTAAGTACACGATACTTATATCGTAAATAAACTTATTATTATTATTCTGTTAAAACTATTGTTCTCGTAGAACTAATTGCAGCTATTGTTCTATTTTAACTATTGCTCTTTTGAAACGACAGTTCTAATAAAACTAATTACATCTATCGCTTTATTATAACTATTGTTCTGTTAAAACAATAGTTATAACAGGACTATACATTAATTTATAGCTGTTATTGATGGCCCTCTAAAAGAACCTGATTAGATTACTTTATTATTTCAGTATCATCTAGTAAAACAATAGATTTGTTAGAACTATTTGTCTATAAAAACTGAAGGGCGCGTAAATATAGTTGTTATAAATTGTTTCTATTAGAACTATAGTTTGTATATAGTGATAATGTAAATATTCATGCCCTATTTCGTCGCAGGCGTGGAGTTAAAGATACCTTACAGCTTAACGCGTGGCGCACTTCACTGCTACAAGAGCATTTGCTTTGTCCTAGTGACGGCAGCTGAATCTTTTCAGGAGATGCTGTCAATGATTCTGAAGTGATACAAAGGCACAATTCACTACCTTGGCAACATTCTCGCCAAAGAGGTATCAGAAAAAGACCAAAACGAAAATGTCTTCAAGGCAGTAAACTGTGGCATCCATTCGGTGGTGTTAGCAGAAACTTCTGAATGACTGCCGACGCTAGTTCAAAGCAAGCTGTCCTGTGAGAGAAAAACGCATCGTCCGTTACGTTCATAAGCGCAGTGATCAAGGTACTTTGGGTCGTTGTGGGTCTGGGTAACCTCGAAAACTGAACTGTTCGTCATTTTTCTCTTGTAAATTTTCAGCCAAGCGGCCCCCAGTTGAGGAGACCGCCAACTTCCTGCAGACCCTGCTGAGTAACCACGGACCCAACTACCTGGAGAAGCTATTCGGCGCTAAAGCCAGGGATGCCCTCGCACCCCTTGGAGGAGTGCAGAAAGTGGCCGTAGCACTTTCAGGTGAGGACACGGCTGACGCACATCTTCAGTATAGCAATGTGTGACCAATCAGTAAGCTCACGGCAGACGTGAATCTTCAGGGTTTGGCTACTTGTCACCAACAGTTAAGAACACGGCTGACGCACATCTTCAGTATAGCAATACGTGACCAATCAGTAAGCTCACGGCTGACGTGAATCTTCAGGGTTTGGCTACTTCTCACCAACGGGTAAGAACACGGCTGACGCACATCTTCAGCATAGCAATGTGTGACCAATCAGTAAGCTCACGGCTGACGTGAATCTTCAGGGTTTGGCTACTTGTCACCAACAGATAAGAACACGGCTGACGCACATCTTCAGAATAGCAATGTGTGACCAATCAGTAGGCTCACGGCTGACGTGAATCTTCAGGGTTTGGCTGCTTGTCACCAATAGGTAAGAACAAGGTTGACGCGCATCGTCCGAGTCTGGCAACGGATAAGCAATTAAAAAGGACGCGACTGGCGCGCATCTTCAGAATCTAGCAGCGGGTGGCCAAGGACAAAGCGGGGTCTTCACAGACTATCCACAGATATCCTTAACAAAGTCGCGGTGTTACTCGATTAAAAAAAAAACACAAGAATTAATCACAAAGTAAAAACCACCGTCATAATTAATCACAACTCGCCTGTTCTCCGCCTGCCACTAAATATTTTAGTGATTTTTCTTTTCCGTGCGCACAAAAACGCTAGCCTTTGTTGATTGTAGCCTGCCGGTTTCTAAAGAAATGCCCGCAGTATTAGAAATAACAATATATAAAGAAAACATTTGTTAACTCTGAAGTCAGACGCGCGCTTACAAAAGCTAGTCTGGCTACAATGAGTGGAATAACGCTAAGCACGCGCACCATGTCAGCCGCGGTAATGGTTTCAAGTCGAGTCATTGAAAAGATACCCCCAGGGTATCTACACTCTTTTCCCTCATCGCCCGATGCCGCCAAAACAGGGATTCGTCCGTTCGCGTCACGTGAGATTTGTTTACGTGCCAGTTGTTTAGGTGCCTACACTCTGGGACCATTAATATTTGCGTCTGTCACGTCATATTGAAGCTGCCAGAATGCATGGCAACTTTACCTCTAAATTATTATTCTAACTCTGTTCTCTCGCAAGGCTCATGTACGTGGATCTACTTTTGGCATATCATTTGTTTTTAATAAACGCCTTATTGTATTGCCAATAAAATGTTTTTTAATTATTTTGAAAAAAAATGAATATGATATCAAGTTTTAAATGATCCCCAGTCGAAGGAAACAAACGCGAGTGCTTACAACTTCGTCGAATCAGAACCAGCAAATATTTTCTGCCAGTCGGTCTCTACAAAGGAATTTGTTAAAAAAGACCCGGAACTGAAGGAACGCAGTAAGGCTGTATCCAAACTGATGTTCGAATGGCAACCGTGAAGCGGATTCAATCTATTTCATCATCAAATGTGCGTGAATTTGTACTGCAACCTTAAGCAACCGCATTCGCAACCGCTTTGCGCATGCGCTTGAACCGCCGGTGGGAATGCGGCGTTATAGTGTATTTTTTCGCGTGACCATCTGCTGGCAAGCTTATTGCCAAGATCAAGCTCAAAGACAAAAATTTTCATATTTTTTTTTAGCAAGCAGATGGAGACATTGGCTTACTGAGCTAGCCTTCTTAACAGTCGATCAAAATGTATACTCTTCTAAAGTCGTACAGCAAAAGAAGGTTGAAAGTATCTTTCTTTATATAGAAACAAGAATGCAACCTTTGGAAATCGCTTAAAAGCTTTCTGTAAAAATGCGGTTAGTAAGGCGCATATTCAGCTTCTTTTGAATTTTGTTTTGAATAAGTTTTTAAGCGACCCGCAGTTCGGAAATAAAATTACATATCGGAGTTCTAGCTTGCTTTGTCACACTTAAATAAGACTTCGCGAAAGGTTAGTGCCATCAAACATTTCAAGCTTCCTTCATAATTTGATATTCGCCAGGTTTAAACCAAATTATTTCAATTTTGTTTTGCTTCTAACCAAAAATGTAAATTTGAAAAAAAAAAAAAAATGAGTGAGAGTGCAAATCCAGCATTTATCGAAGCTTCACCTTTTGCCCTTAAAAAATGCACAAACGCGCAAAAAAAAAAATTAACGATGTACTTTACCGCATCAATTGATTTTCGATTATATGTTGTTGTTGTTTTTTTGTTTCCTGAACACGAGGAACGCGAGGATGTAGATGAAGCTTTTGGGACACCTCTCCACTCTATTTGGACGCCCGCACCACTAAAGCGACTGACGCGCCTACGGAATTTTCGAAGCTGCATTAGCGAGAGCGGCACCGAGAGCACGCGCATATGTTCATCAATAAAACCATGAAAAAAACCAAATATAACAAAATAAAAAAGATAAATAAAAAAAAAATAGAGAACGCTTGCTGACAACGCGGCAGGGGCGCAGAAGAGCAAATCCCCTTTGGGCTTTTCCAGCGTAGACGGCAATCTCGTTAATATTAATTTTCTCCGAGCTCGTGAGAGGACGCCTCTGTACGTCCCTGGAGATGTCGCGATGCTTGCGAGGCGTTGCAGCTTTTCGGCCTCTTTTCGCAAATTTCCGGAATAAGATGCTGTCGGCCGCGGCTGCCGTTCTACTCATCGCTGAACTTCGTTGCATTCGGCTCCAGTATAGTCGAGAGTGTACAAGACAATGCGAAAACACGTCCCTTTTTGCGATGTATTTTTTCCATGAAATGGCTTAACCAGGGCGTCATTTTTGGGTACTTGGCGGAAGTTAGAGGAAAGCTCAAGACAGTCACAAATAATTACTTGTAATTAACTTCTCCTTCAGGAGGCGATATGAAATACAAAGCTAAGACGTGCGTTGAAAATGTTTGAGATTAGTATTTTTATAGACATTGCCTCTCGAAAATCGATGTGTACCAATAAAACAGCAATATTTGTCTCATTATTTTTTTAAACGTTCGAGGACGTTATCACCAACAGTCACATCGTCTATGACTGACGACGTGGTCGAATAAAGTTTGCGGAACATTCGCGCGCGTCTAATAAAGATCCCCCTGTCTCTAAAAACGTCCCTCCAATCTTCGGGCTGGTACTTTCATATTAGCATGCCCGATACGAAGCCGAATTGTAATTTTCTTTGTTTCCAATCCTCGACCGCGTTGCCACGGTATAGTTTGCATCTACCCTCCATCGTTTCTTTGGTTTCTCTCGTCGTGAAAAAACCCACTCGAAAAGCCAATGACACCCAGACGACAAGAGCTGCTCGTAACGTCATCGTTAGTGGATTCTTGACCCGGCCCCTGGCGGCGAACATGCTCAACCTCTACGCGAGTATATGCGACAAAGCGGCAAGGGCGTGTGTCTTGGCGTCGCCGCGCGCGTTAGCAACGTGCTCGCTGTGAAGCACTGCAAGATCCGCTCGCGCCGACGCAACCGCATAATAGGCGGCGCAGCCTGGCGGCATTCTACTATTCGCAACTCCCACGCCCTATAGGTGGCGGGGCGGTAGTTCCAACATGGCGGAAGAGACGGGGATAGATTCTCCAGGATATCCCGTGCGCCTGCTCGCGTTGACGCTGTTCAGCGCGCTAAAAATGATTTATTTGTCCACAAATGCGAAGCGGTTAGGGAGGGATCATATTACTGGTGACGGGGATGCTGATGCACGTTAGGAAAACGAGCATGCTGATATTTAAAAGTTACAGAAACCTCAAATTGCGAAGCTTTGTTGTGGGCGAGCGCGTTTTAGGCACCGGCTACGTTACTGTTTGTAGCAGAATATTTTTGAAGGTGATGAAGATATGTTTGCGGCTTTGCCTGGCCATTAGTGCTCTAAAAAGAGAGCCGCAAACGGTGACCGTCAAGCTTCGAAAGAGCAGCGTTCACAGTATTGGTGTCTTTGCGTCACAGCCTCACAACTCGCTGCTCGCCGTCTCGGTTTTAGTGTATTGCAACACGTAATAGTTATTGATAGAAAGTTTGTTACCGCATGCTACCGTGCGGTGTAGCATTAAAACCGCGAGCTCGCGCTGCGCTTTTGAAGCACAAATTTCAATGCGTGCCAGGAGCGTTGCCGTGCTCCATATCACTCTAAAAAAAAGAAAATGTTGTAGTTCTTACACCCCTTGGCACATATACGACACTCCAAAACTTCAGTTCGCCGTGCAGTCCATCGACGTCGAACTGACGGCCCCAACTTTTACAAAAGGCTTGATGACGGCGCATTATGAGATATTAAACAGCTTAAAGTACGTGTCAAAGAGTACCGAAAAAAACACACACAAAAAAACGAGGTTTTGCAGCGGGGCCAAGAAAACCCCGATTATTATTATTATTATTTCTTTTTTTACAGTCATTTACACTTACTTAGGCTATTTTAAAAAGTTGCACAACTCGGCTATCAAGCCGCTCGTGAAAGTTCGTAGCGCCGGTTGAACGTCAGTGCGCTGTACGTCCAACCGAAGTTTAGGGGTGTCGTACGCTATGCAAAAACTACCTATTACTATAATCGGCGTGTTTAGGGGTTTTATTTATTGCTCTATTAAAATACATATTTTAATATACCGTACATTTGTTGTACCGTCTTATTTGCAACATTGCGGTCCCTCTGGTCAAAACTGCGCGTTAAGCTCTCGTCACAAACGGCTGGCTAACACAGACGCGCTTAAAATGCTTCGAGAATTTCTTTATTTGCTTTGTAATTACCGGAAAGCAAGTACGGGTATTCTGTCTTTTTAAAGTGCTTGGAATAAATGGTCATGTTCCTTGTGACAGCCTTAAAACACGAACCCATTCCCGATTTGTGTTGCTCAACATACCGTTGCGCGACGAGTTTTCTCCTACTTATGGCAAAAAATAGACTTTCCGCAGACCGTACCATTGAGCTCTTAATTATTAGCAGGAGCGTTTTCCATCACGTTGAGATTGAGCTGGCGGCCATGCACAATACCAGAAATCCGGAGCGTATGCAATACACGAAAAGTCCCTAATGAAATTAGACATCCCGGCCCTTCGTGCAAGGCTGTTGCAAGGCGGACCACAAGAACTCCTTTTTTCCGCTCACTTTTTTCGTTAAAAAGGCTTCGCGCATCAACGCCGACAGCCCCTGCCACCATTTCCACGCCGCCGCCGCCGCCGCCGTCCCCGCTCCTCTGGTTCTCCGTTCGTCCGCGGGAGGGCGAGCGGCGCGCTGGAGTTGCGAATAGACCTTAGCAGAAATCGCCTCCTGCGCGCTGCCATCTTTGTCTGCTGGGCTGTTGATCTGTTGTGCAGTATATCGGACGCTGCGCGTGCGTCCACAGCTCAGTGACTCGGCATTTTTTGCCCGCTCGCTTTTTTCGAGACTGCCGCTGGCAAGGTCTATAGTCACCGGCAACTTAAGAAACGCATGGCGTGGCTTTGTAAGTTCAGGCTTCTCGCCTTGTGATTGGTGTTTTGGCGTTCTTATCAACAAAAGGCCGCAATATCATTGGCTGTTGAGCAACGAGACTCACCGCACCCTGCGCTTGATAAACTCTCAGTGAATGTAGCGATGACAATTCGAAGAGCAAGTCGTCTGCTTCTTGTGCAAGGCTTACAACGACGTCAGAACGACGTCGACTTCTGTTTGGATTTGATTCTGAGGATACTGGGTAGACCTAAAAGCTAGATGCCTTAAGGTCTACCCACTATTTTTTATTATTTTTTTTTTTTCAGTCAGTCAATAAGAGCTTTTCGTTCTAGTATCATGCAACCCCTGTGCAAGAAGCAGTCGAACTTGCGCTTCGCATAGAAAAGGAATCTCTGTCTTCCACCGTACTCTTGCTCTGACGCATAAACTACAAACGGGAAATTGACTCCAGTGCACCATTAAAGGTGAAAAAAGTGCACGTTCTTGCTTACCTCAGGCGCACGTCCTTAACTCATCTTTGTCGTCGCAGAGGGCGAGACACTTGAAGACTTCGGCAAGGCCCTGCACCTGATGCGCTCGGACCTGGAGCACCTCCGCAGCGTGTTCATGGCCGTCGAGAGCGGGGACATCAGCCTGCTTCGTTCCTTGGGCATCCGGGACTCAGAGCTGGCCGACGTCAAGTTCTTCTTGGACAAGCTTGTGGCCACCGGCTTTATGGACTAGCGTCGCCCTACGTCCGCTCCCGGAATCCCGACAACGCAGGCCGCTCGGGAGCCCCCTCCGTCTACCCGCAGCCCTCCCTAAGTCGCGTGGCCATGCCAAGACCTCCTGGACCGCTGGACTGGAAAATCCACGAGTCGTCGCGCGACGACGCAATCGCGCCTAGAAAACAAGGCCTGAGCATGACGTCATCGTTAGTGGATCACCGATCCGCCCCGAGCGGCAAACTCTCTGAAGCTCAACTGGAGTACGCCTTTGTCGTGGTTTCGCCGCCTGCTGACGTCACGCTGGTTGTCAGATCCTGCGAGATGCGCTAGCGGCGACGCTGGCGCGAGCAAAGTTGTACTCCGTAAATTCATTACGGAAGCTCCTGGTTTTGTAGGTTGTATTGGCCAGAAACCGGCGTGTCTCTCAGTGATTTTTCAAGATAAAAAACCGACATCTAAAAACGTTTACGTCGTTTCGGAGAGCCGCAGGGTGTCGGGTGATGTTCGCGGGACGAGAATTGGCATCGACTGAAGTCTTCTTCTGTTTACAAAGAGAAGCGATGCGGTGTTCCCGGTTTTACCGATCGCTTCGTAGTTTCGTACGTTAATTCCCGCTCGGTAGTTGGCCCACGCGGTGACGTCACGATAGTTAGGACAAGAGGCCTGCGCTCCAGGAGGCATTGGTCACGCTCGTGCATGCCGAGTGAAATCATCGTCTGTATAGTAGATGCTGAGTGTTTTTTGTTGAGACATTGAGAGGCGTATTAGTTTGGAGAGGGTAAGCGATAGAGGAGACGGACCTATGCGGGTAGCAGTGCACCCTTGGCCTGCTTTCTGCAGCTGGACTTACTCTTATTAGAAAGCTCGCTGTTCAATATAGAACTTGTACAGCCGGCTGTCTGCTAATGAAGTGGCGTTATTCTTGTGCGTTCTAGGAAGTTTTGAGGCTTTGTTTTGGACAAAGCTCCTGCTAACGGTCAAAACATGTTGCTTAAAACAACTTTTTGCATTCTTTAACAAAGAGGTGTATTCGAGGATTTCTATTACAATAACTGAAAGCTGTATATATGAAAGAAAAATTAAAGGAGGTAGCTGAAGCATATGAATCCTAAGTGGAACTTCGGTGCCACACCATGCTCGCTAGACTTGATTAGTTTTTTTGCAGTTCAGGCTCATCCGCTGCTACTCGCAATCGTCCGGTAACCTTTTCCAGCTTTCCATTCCAGCAAACGAGTGGTGGTAACTGTTCTATTTATATTTTTTTTCATTGACCCTTTCATGAGTTTTATGATTGCGGACTCTTATGCACGGTGGAGCTGCGGCAAGGGTCGAGCCGGCCGTAGATACTCAGCAAGAAGTGGCCAGAACACTTGAAACAATCCCTGCTGCGGCGCTTGAGGACCTGCAATATGCCTGGAAGTAGGCGAGGCCGGGGAAGGGGGGGGGGGGGGGGGGGGAAAGGTATTTTTCGAAAGAGTTGTTGTATGGATACCGAGCGAGTTTCCAATCGTGGCACCATAATGTTGGAGTTGAAGAAGCGCACGGGAACACATGACTGATACCTTCCTTTCCGGCTACATTGTTTATTTTTCGCTCACACATGGCACCGGTAGTGGGGACATTTTTCAGACTTGGTCTTTGTTCTTTGACGTTGCCCTTCTACAGTCCATTTCACATTAAGTTGGACCGCAGTCAACGATTCGATCCGATGGAGCCAATCAAGTAGTTCCAAAAGTTCATTGTGACGGCGCTGGTTGCCTTTGGGGGTATATGATATCACTGGCTAATCACGCGCATACCAATCGCGCACAAAACAAATCGCAGGATCCCCAGCGCATTCGTTGTGCGTGGTTGGTAAAGTGTGTGAAAGCTGCCACACAAATGCAATGAGCGCCGTGACGACGCACTTCTGGCACTACTTGATTGGCTCCGCCGGTTCGTATAGCGTTGATGGCGGACGGACCTATGGTGAACTGGCGTACAGTTATTCTCCGGCACATCCCTCTTTAGATACCCTAATCTTTGTATATGCATATTGCCATGTTTGTGTCTGTTCAGAATCATTTTTAACACAATTATGTTACGACAATCCCCCAGAGGCATGATGTCGGGAGGCACTTCCAACCCCTCTCGGCAGAATGTAACTTATTAATCATTAACCCCCTGTCCGGATGCTCAACGTTTAAGATATGCATATTGTACACGAGGCCGGTGGTTAAAAGCGAGTTAACTAATCTCTTTGTTTCTGGTAGTTTTATGTCATCAGATTTACAGTGGTGTTTGTTCTATGGTTAATTCAAGAGCCAGGGATCAGAAAGGCGCTTTAAGCACCAACTTATTAGTTCTAGCGATTAGAGCGACTTCCAAGTTCTCTTTCAGAACTCATCAATAATATGTATGCAAAGAGATATATACTGGAGCTTATATTTTACTTGAATAGATAAGGTACAGCTTAAATTGTTTATATATTTCTACATAAAAGAAGACTCAACGTACTTTTAATGTTAGCAGGCCTAAGTCTTTCTTCGCCCCAGGCCCTCAGTTTAGCCAAACAAGTCTGTTTCAAAAGAAATCCCTTGCGTGCTTTGACCTTCGGCAAAAATTAACATGGACCGAAGAAGCCAATATCGTTGACATTCAATTATGATTTCTCTTAGAGCGACAATCTGTGTTAGATTAATAAAACAATTGAGCAGTAGAGTTCTGCTGTAAGGACCTTCCCCGAGATTGTCCAACGTCTATGTCCTGAGCTTATGACTTTTCTTTGGCTTGCTGACTTTGTGTGGTATTATCCTGTTTGTTTAGATGCGCAGGTTTAACTTAAGCATCTCAATCTTACGTTGCATTATTCTTTTGAAGGTTCTGTTGAGAATGTTACCGTGAACCCATAAAAAAGCTACACTAAAATAGTTGCTTTCCCTCTTCTTTGGATTAACATCGCTTCACACCAGGGGAAGACATAACGACCGTTTCCAGACGACATTAGTAGCAGACAATACGTTTTAGGAAAATTTTTTCTTGACCGAAATATTTTCGCTTAGTTTACTGTAGGCTTCACCTTATTTTTATTTACTGAAGTCTGTTATGACTACGATTTTGTAGTTACTCATGGAAAGTCGGACTTAATCCTTTACGATTTCCCAGCGCTTACAACTGAGGTCAAAAATGCCTATTCGCTGGGCTCTACACGCAAGCGTGGCGTCCTCTATTCCCCAAAAGAGGGCCACTGCGCATGCTCAGAACGCCTTCCGCAGCCCATAGGATAAAGATAGCCGCGCGCAGAAGGCGGTAATTGTAAGTGTTTATATCTATTGTAAATTGTAATCGATCAATCCGGTCGCGTCGAGTATTTTTGTTCCACTCAAGAGTAATGCAACCACAAGAAGGAATCGTCCTGCATGTTGTTTCTTTAACGTATTTCTACACTCTAGCGTTATCTATATCCAACCCAATGCTCGTAAGGTGTCCTTAAAGAAGGAAAACAGAAAACCAAATCTACACCCAACGTGCGCGGCCACCAGAGCGAGTAATCGCCATCTTTACCCAAGACCCGTAAATATGGTACGCATGCCATCCCCTGACTCACTCTATTGTGAGGCAATACATTCGTTTCAGCTTACGTGCAATTTGTTGTTCCTTCTGTTTTCTGTTCAGCCACTTATGTTCTAAGAAAGATGATAAGGGTATTTGAGTTTTTCTTTTGAGTTCATGTCCATGTTCGACATGTGGTCTCGAAAGACACCTAGTGTTCAAGAGCGAATCACAAGCGAATTTGAAAGGACAATAAAAGGATACGTGACATGTGTGAGCTGTTGTGTGTGTGTATGTGTAAGAGAGTGATGAAAATGCATAGATTCAGAACGAGAGGCAGTCGAGGAAGGGCACAAGATTCCCTGCGGAGACAGGCTTTCTGATCAACCTACCTTTGTTACTGGTTCCTCACCTGAATAGCTGTTCAGTTCCTGAAGGGTAGCGTGTCACAATGATCCGCTTCTAACTTGTTACCTTGGATAGGTCATCACTGGCGACCAATCTTTACATAAAGTCACTGTGTGATCTTCAGAACCACAGCGCTTCGTTCTAGTTATCTAGTTATTGTATAAAGAGGCACACCAGAATGAACAGAATGCAATGCCACCTGGTTAAATTCTTTTAAGCCACCCAGAGCATGGCAGATTGATGTAACCCACGTACATATATGGACGCTGCATAGATCAAGCGTTGGGACCATAACGTATGGTTCACTTCTCGCTTCCGATGATATCGATCCAATGTTGTTTGCTCTGAATGCTCATCCGGTGACTCTTTCTCGTTGTTCCCCTCGTGTTGTCACCGACTGCCTATGAAGCGAGGGGCGTGGCCTTGCTTTGTGATTGGTTCGTCGGCGCTCTTATCGACTGATGCCGCAACCTGATTGACTGTCAAGCGATAGTGAGATGCGAGAGACTATAGTCACGTCCTCCGTTTGTGAAGCTCTCAGGGACAATATCCGATCTCGGTCATTCCTGGTCCCGGCTCATCTGGGGGCTTACGAAGTTTACACGAACAAAGAACACGGCGTGTTTTTCGACACCCTACCGATCCCCTCCGAGCCCCTTGTCACACCCCCGTCTTTCACCAGATTTGAAGAAGACAATCAGTCCGTTACGCTTTCACGGCTCCCGCTTACCCGTCAAGCGGTCGCGTTCCTCGTGTAACACCAACTCGACCCTCTATCGTCACGCTGCTTTGGTCGCACTGCTGTCAGCACTGCGCGCATGCGCAGAAGCATCACTTGACGCGAATTATGTTTCCGCTCACTTGCAGTGCCCGCACCTGGTGTGGGCAAAGGTGGGTTTGTTTGGAAACTGCGCGTTTATGTATTCCCAATTTGTCCCAGCTTTGATGCATCGGTGGAAAAAGGTCGACCGAAGTCAGTCTGTTTTTTTTTTTTTTTTGGTCAAATGTTTATCTAGACGCATTCTGAGCGTTATTTTCGAATTAAAGCGGAAATGACGTCACACGTGCGCGTTATAT